ACGACACCTCCGCGGACAAGATCTCGCCTCGCGCTGTTCCCTGCGTGTTCCTTGGTTTCCCTGAGAACTCCTCTGACTACACCTTTTACCACCCTCCCCTTCACCGGTTCTTTGACTCTCGTGACGTCCGTTTCGACGAGTCCGTCCCCTACTACGTCCGGTACCCCTGTCGAGGTCTCCCGGTTCCTCCTCCCCCTCTCTTCCTTACTTCAGCTCCCCCTCCTGCTCCCCCGGTACAGCCTCCCCCCATGGTCCCGCCCCGTCAGGTGTGTCCTACGCTACCCCTCCCCCCTCGGTAGCCCCTCAGGTGCAGCCTCCATCCCCGCAGTCCTCCTCCCAGCCTACAGCAGACCCTGCAGGAGCCGGTTTTCGTGGCGAGGACCCTGGAGGTGCTAGCTCTAGAGGTGCTGGAGTTGGAGCAGCGAGCGTACCTGTGCGAGGTCCTGGTTCTGGGGGTGCTGGAGTTGGAGCTGAGCCCGTGGCTGCAGGAGACTCTAGTCTTCGGGGAGCTGGTGTTAGTGGAGCTGTCCCTGGGGGTGCTACGACTGGGGGTGCACCCTCTGCTGGACCTGGAGAGCCTGGGACGGACCCTGTTACTTCTGGTGGTGCTGGCTCTTTGGGTGGTGACTGGTTCTTTGGAGAGCGGTCCTGGGGCTACCACCGCTCAAGACACTACTCCTCCCCCCCACCCCTACCCGACCCGGCACCAGGCCCGTGTTCGCCGTTCCCGTGAGGAGCAGCTGGAGTTGGAGCGAGAGGAGAGAGAGTTGGAGCGGCGGCAGCTGGAGCTACAGCGGATGGAGGAGCAGCAGCAGCAGCCAGAGCAGGAGCAACCGCAGCAGCAGCCGCAGCAGCAGCCGCCGCAGCTGGAGGAGCAGCGGTCGCAGCCGCAGTAGGAGCAGCAGCAGCAGCCACCTCCTCCTCCTGTCTCTGGTCTTCGGACCCTCGGTCTCCCCTCTCCTTCTCCTCCCTCCCCCCCCTCTCCTCCCGTCTCTGGTCCTCCGCTTCCTCCTCCTGACCCCTCCCCAACTGTTTTTCCTCCTCCTCTGCCCTCGTTGTCCCTTCCTCTTTCTCACACTTGGCCTTCGCGTAGCTCTCCTCGTGCTCGTTCCTCGGCCCCTGTTCCCTTCACTGACCTTCGTACTATCCTTTTCGTTCTAGTCTGCCTCGTTCGTCTCCTTCTGTACGTCCTTCTCCTCCTGAGTCGGCTCTCACTGCTTCCCTCTCTACTCCTGTCACAGACTACTACCGCACGTACCGTCCTGTTCTCTCTTGTGTTCTCGCCTCTCTTGTTACCGACCCACGTGCTTCTCTGTCCTCTGTCTCCGCTCTTACTGCCGCAGTCACTGAGTTTGCCTCTACTGCCTTGACTACGCCACCAGTCTTGTGGCTGCTCCTCCTACCAGTCCTCTGGCCGTCTGGGGTGAGTTTGCCCTTGGCTGTGACGCCCTGGAGGACAGGCA